TTAATTAGTTAGGTAGTTTGTCAGTTAATTTGTAAGTTAGTCATTGAGTAAGTAATTGGGTGTGGTTGAGTTATTTACTTAGTTAGTTAGTTAGATAGCTAGTTAGCTAGAATGATAGTTAGTTTTGTTGTTAGTTAGTTAGTTACGTAGTTAGTACGGTAGTTACTTAGTTAATTAGTGAGTTCGTTTGATAGTTAGCTAGGTAGTTACTTAATTAGTTAGTTAGTTAGTTAGCTACAGGTTTAGCTTGTTAATTAGTTAGTCAGTTACCTTGTAAGTTACATGATTAATTAGTTAATTAATTTGCTTGTTAATTGGTTTATTCCTAGTTTGTTTGTTAGGTAGCTAATGACTTAATTTGTTTGTTAGTCAGTGAGTTAGATATTTAGTCTGTTAGTTAGTAAGTGAGTTAATGATTTAGTGATTTAGTGAGTGAGTGAGTTAGTTAGTTAGATAGCTAGTTACTTAGATAGTTAGGTATTTAGTTCGTTTGTTGATTAGTTAGTTCGGTAGTTTAATATTTAGTTAGTTTAGTTAGTTAGTTAGTTCACTTTCTATCATATGAAAGTGAATGAAGAAGAGATTCATTGGTCAATCTTAATAGATGCAGATGGATGAATCTCGTTATACTACAGCCGTTTCACTTTTATACGATATTCATGTTGACGAAATCTACTAGACTTAATCCCTCGTTTCGGATGGAAATGGGCTGAGCTTTCGTCCATCATAGGATGGACAGCATCAGAGCTGGATGTCATTCTTTTAAAAGTCTCTTGTGGACTGCGTCAACATGAATATCGTATAAAAGCTAAATGGCTGCAGTATAACGGGATTTATCCATCCTCATCTGGTGAGATGGACCAACGAATTTCTTCTTCATTCACTTTTATGCAAAATGAAAGTTGTCTCCCTAACAATAAGATGATTGAGTAGGGATACGTCAAGAGGGTGACATGCATGTGACTGCACGACTTGCTTTTTTGGACGACTAAGCTGTTCCGCAGTTGGTGTTAATCTTTTAAGTTTGCATGGGCCACTCAACTCAGCTCACCTCCACTCCACTTTACACACCTGAACTCTACTTTACACACCACTTTACATTTCATTCAACTCGAATCAATTCCATCTCCCACTTCACTCCACTTCACTTAATTTTACTTCCAATTTCACTCCACTCACCTGAACTCTACTTTACGCCCCACTTCACATTCCAGTCAACTCCACTCAACTGAAATCTACTTCACACTATACTTCACTTCACTTCGCATTCCATTTAAATCAACTCAATTTCATATCCCACTTCACTCCACTCCACTAAATTCCACTTCGAATTCCACTCCATTTCATTCAACTCGAATCAATTCCATCTCCCACTTCACTCCACTTCACTTAATTTCACTTCCAATTTCCCTCCACTCACCTGAACTCTACTTTGCACCCACTTCGCATTCCATTCAACTTCATTCAACTGAACTCTGCTTCACACTCTACTCCACTTTATTTCGCATTCCATTCAACTTCATTCAACTGAACTCTGCTTCACACTCTACTCCACTTTATTTCGCATTCCATTCAACTCGACTCAATTCCATCTCCCATTTCACTCAACTCAACTCAACTTAATTCCACTTGTTAGGTTTCACGTTTAATCTCACCACAACAGCTACTTCCCGAAGCAGCAGCTCAGCTCAGCTCAGTTTAGCCCAGTCCAGCCAAGCATAGCCCAACGCAGCCCGAGAAAGCAGCAAAGCCGCATCGATCGGCGCCTCGCTTCTGAACACTGCACTGTCGAGTTGTGCCGGCCGATTGGGCAGGCAGGCATGCCGGCGCTCAGTCGACAGACCGACAGCGCACGCCCATTCCGGCAGAGGCCTCTTGGCG